ACTATATGAGTGTACGTTTCGTGTCGTATAGTAGTATACATATATATATATATATATATAGTGTGGTAGTAACGACTACTTACTTAGTATTATATATATATATATATATATATATATATATATATATATATATATGTGTGTGTTTGTATACATATATATATATATGTATATATGCGTATCAATGTCTCTGTTCGTATGATTCAAACATATGCGTTTATATGCATCTGTTGATATAATTCGTATATATGGGTGTATATATCCTGTTCGTATGACTCATATATGTTTTGTATATAGCTTTGTTCGTATCTGATATACGACGTTTCTAACACTCTGGTTTCTGTGTTAAGTTGTTGTTTTTGGGCCAAGTCGACCATAACATAACATTAGCATTCCTAGATCAACGCACTTCCTAGTACGGCAGAGTGAGTTCATTGTTGCACCGGATATACGGCATAGGTAGATACACTGTGGATATATGGAATAGGCAGATATACAGTAGGTACACATATCTGCAATCGTGCACATGTGACTATACTATTAAGGCTCATGCTTGTAAATTGAATCGAGCCCGTGGCCTTTATCATGGACAATTGTATCTACAAAGAGTACTGGTACTGTGGTGAATCGATGACAACTTAAACCATACGATGAGTATATATATATATATATATATATATAGGTGCATTCTTTGCTCAAGCACGTAGTACCAGAATTAGTGAAAGTTGAATAGGATACTATAAAATGCGCGTGTGGGCAAGTGTCTCAATAAGTCTACGGACACATAATTATAAAAAAGTCTATATCAACACAAAATCAATGTTCGTGTATTTATATGTATATTTTTATCTTCTTACAGACGTTGATAGAAGGCACCTCTGTCACGCCTGTGGTTGCGGATGGTATTGAATCCCGTTGGGTGGTAGCCCCAGGGTATGAGCTGTACGCATGCATTTGTGGCTGAATATATACATATATATATATTGTCGGATTGTAAATGCGGCAACGAGAGGCAAGCCCGAGCGCAAGTGCTAAATGCCAAGCAGCTCGCAAGCAATTGTATTAATTTGTGTACGGTGTAGTCTAAAATCCCTATTTACCATATACTGTGTTGGTCACATTTTGCCGTTGGTCTGTTTGTGTTTCGTTGTTGGGCCGTAACTTCTTGATTGAACCTGCTATTTTATTTCGACCCATGCAGCTGTGATACCGCCAATCGCCTGCTGTACATCCACGGTGGCAGTTGGTGTTCCGGGAATACCGCAGCGTACCAGTACGTGTGCTCGCATATTTCAGAGTCCACCGGATGTGCAGTGCTGGCCATCGACTACAAGCTTGCGCCAGAATATAAGTACCCGGAGGGTTTGAATGACTGTGTGAAGGTGCGTGCATTGTTTCTGATGGGGAGACATTTTATGAGAGCGTAGTCAACGCTTGTCTACATTCTGATGTGAATATTAATATAGCGAGTATCGGGTCGGCGTAGTGAAGGGCTTAGAGATTGGGGTTTCGATAGACAATTTTTCATGATTAGAGATGCATATATAATGAAAGTATGGTAGATCATCGTTTGAATATTCATTCATATTCACGCAACTGCAGCCTCCGTGGGGGTGTACATCTGTGTAAATGGGCGTACATCTGGTATAGTTAGCGATATACACGTCTGTGTAGGTAGACTCGGTGCTTGTTGCCATGTTGGGTTTAACGAGCCTTTTGTGCCTAAACCTGAGTATTAGAGGGGTCGTGGCCATTGTACGTGCAGGCGTGCTTATCATTCCACAGCTATAGTTGCATGCATTCATACACATGCACTTAGCACTTGGCTGACAAATCCCTTCGTTCTTGAGTTTTGTGTTTTATTCAGGTTTTAACTTGTTACATGAATGGGCTTTATTTACAAATCCAGGTTACACACATGCATGCTTTGATCAGGTTTTGTTACTGGAGTGTATGGCTTCATACAGTGCTCGTGCGACAGTACAGTGTATTCATTCAGACACATAGAAGTGGTCCATGTGTTGTGTTTCTCCAAACGAACACCCACTAGGTTCCTCCGCACACATACATACTGCAGATATACAATCCCGCCCGCACTCGGTACATATGTGAACGTTTCTTTATCCACAAGATGAATACACTGGCCTGATCGTAGGCGACGATGAACCACAAATTTGTGCACTGGGTAGAGGCCTCTCTCGCACCTACGCGTCTCCTATCGGGTATGGCTATCCTTAGCTTTATCTTGTTGTGGAAGGGGTATTGTGCCCAACTATTCAGAATCAAGGTTCTACACTGAATGATATATGTAAAAGCTACTTTAACGTTTATCTAACTGTTCGGAAGCGAAGTTCTCAACAGAATCATATATGTAGAGGCTACTACAATGCTGTGTATACTAGAGCTCGTAGGCTTGTAACAAGCACGTGTACTTTCACAGACGTACCATCAAGTAGATTTTTCTATAAATAGTATAGTTGGGGAAAACATTTTGTGTGCATGTGTACACTATATCAACCTAGCACACATACACCCTCATACACTCACGTATCATCTCCTCAGGCGTACAACTGGCTGTGTAAAAACGGGCCGGAGGGCGAAGCAGTATGCAAGAGCGTGTTCATATCCGGAGATAGCGCTGGTGGCAATCTCACACTGGCAACGTACCTACGCCTTAGAGCGCAAGAGAAAGACGGTCACGCTATTCGTAAACCGAATGGGCTAATGCCGGTGTCTGCGGTGACGGATTGGACCCAGCAGGGCGAATCGTTTGTAAGTATCTGCGATTTGTCATCCCCTGTGTGCGACATGTTACGGTGTCTGGTGTTTGTTTGTGTGTATGTGATATGATATGATGTGTTATGGCTGTGTTCGAACATTGAATTGTGCTTCTGTGTACAAAGTTCTCAAATAATGCGCGAGGTGCTTCATTGCTCACAGCGGACTGTCGTCTTATTGTATGCGATGTATGTGTCTGTGCATCTGATGTGACTATGCAAACCTGAAGCTACAAAGGTCCTAATTTTGCTTATACCGTTGCTTTAGAGTGCGTGGATAAGATGTACGCATCACATTTGAGCTGAATGAGGTTGTTTCTCTGTCTGCGGCGGTCGATTAGAAGTTGAAGTGCCTGATCGAGTGTCCGTATATGCCACACGCGCGATACTGATGCGTTCACGGTGTGTGCATGTATCTGCAACACACTAGTAGTTGTTTTCTTTGATACCCATGGTTCATTTGCTTGTTATGTTGAATATTGATCTTTACGGGATGCAGAATTTGAAAGTCTCAATTGTTTTTGCATGTTGCTGAAAATGGGACATGCGTTGTCCAGTCTGCGTCTGCGGCTGTGGACGGGTCGTGTGGTTTCGAGTGACTGTGAATGTCTTCACCACGGCTTGAAATCGGAGGCGCCGAACGCAAAATTTGATATTAACTAGACCCGATTTTTTTCTTCTTTCTCTTGAAAAACAGAAATCTCGGGCGGCTGTCGACCCGATTTTGCAAGAAGCAAGCTTGCCAAAATTGCACCCTGTATACGGTATGTGCAACATACGATTAAAGGGGGGTGATGATAGCAAGCTACGGGTATATATCTTACCTGGAAATAATTTTATGGCGTGTGTATCGTGTCCATTAGTAAGATATACTATATACAATATTGCTTGAACGGTACATATCATTTAAACATATTTTTTTACCGGTATATATACTTAATAGTTTCTTTGTACTCTGCCTGCAACAACTGATAGGGATCGGCGAATTCGCAGGACCCGCTGTAGACAGTAAACTCGGTCTGAAGGATCCGTGTGTATCCCCCCTATTTGGAGACTACAGCCAATCGCCACCCTTGTTCATTATGGTATGTGGTGCTTTACTGGTGTCATGTACTTCAGTATGGTGCGGTACTTGATCAGTATGTGGTATGTGGTACTTTAGAATTCACTAGTAATTTTGTGGTAATTTACTAATTCATGGTACTTTAGTAGTGTGTGGTATTTGAACAGTGTGTGGTATGTGGTACTTCACTATTCTGTGGTAATTTTATATTTTGCAGTAGTTCACAAGTTCGTGGTACTTCATAAGTGTGTGATATGTGGTGATTTACTAGTGTATGGTCTTTACCAATTTGTGGTGGTGCTTTACTATTTTGTGGTACTTTTATACCAAGGTGTGTGTATAGCGTTTCTACCTTGTGGTTGCGGTGCTTCACAAGTTGTATACAAACTTCGACAGCAGGCTTACCTGGTGTAGTTGTACTATTTTTATGAAGTAAAGAATAAACAGTTACCTGTCATGCTCACTTCGAAATATCATGCTGTACTTGGCTTATGTGATGTTCTGGTTCACTTGGTTACTGGTGTTAGAATGTGAAGAGATTCGGATTCCGGACGAATAGTATGGTGCCATTTTAACACCAGCCCTATCCGTGTTTTTGCGTATCTCGCAAACCATTTATAGAAACGTTTTTGACTGTGTGAAATTTTGTGTGGCATCATGTACACCCACTTTAAAGTTTGTATCGAATCAAATTCACGAAGGCGCACACGACAAACTGCACATATGTATGCTTGTATCGATCATTGCCAATCTCGAAGTATATATATATAATTTTTTGAACCCTTGACTCGCACTGAAAGTGGAAGTTCGCGAGATGCTTCGGGAGGTTTAGGTACGAGAATGTTAAAGAATATACATCCCTGTGATTTCTTCCATCATCTCTTTCTCTCTTCTCGTCGACACCTTATAAAAGATGAGACCATGAGATGTTCTACACAGCTTTCTGCTAGTACGTCACAACGCAATGTCTGTAGGCTTGCATCCGTATGCAATTATACACTACTGCCAGTCCACTACTATATATGTGTATATATTATATATATATACATACATATATATATATCATCCATCAGCAATCTATGAGCGGTGTTCTAATATTTGTACAAATATTTGTACAACGTGCCCATTGTATCCTTATATTTGTACAACGTTGTATCATGTTATTTGTTTAACGTTTTCAAAACATTTAATCGTTCAAACAACGTTTCTAAGGTATCATATTTCTTGCACAATGTCTCTTATTTTAATATTTAAACAACGTTCTGTCACCACAGGTTGGTGATTACGAGGTCCTTCTGGACGATTCGGTGGTGTTGGCCAAAATGGCCAAAGAACAGGGCGCGGATGTGCAAATCAAAGTGTACAATAAAGGGGTGCACGTGTTCATAGGGTTTGCACCCTACCTACCCGAGGCTGTAGAGGCTATCCAAGACATGGGCGAGTTTGTGCGTAAGCATCAGAGTGCGTGAGCGAGAGAGAGAGAGAGAGAGATAGTGTGTGTGGTGCAGTGTGTAGAAGGCACAGGTGTTATGTATATGTACGTGTACATGAGGTACATTCTCATTTCCACATGGATGATTGTTCTGGAGTGGGTGTTTTGTATGTTGCTTCCATTGAGTTGCCAAACTTAGTCGACGTACGGGGCAAACATCAGCGCTCGCGCTGATGCAAACAACCGTTCGAGCGGTAAATATAACTGGTCGCTCCGCATGGGTGGAGGGGATGGAATCAGTGCTGTTAGAATGCACTCATGTGGTCTATAGTTGCGAATAAATTTAAATTTTCATTGTGATGCACATATAGTGGTGTACTTGTGCTGCTTCTTAATCGCGGGATTCGTTCATCTGCAGAGTGCCATGTACTGACAGTATAGGCTCGAGTGTAGCCGGTGCACAGCCATGTAGGTCGTGACAACAGAGGACCTGTGGCAGTTCTATCCACGAGTGCTCTCGAACAAACTATGCGAAAACGTGTGTTGAAAGTAGTCAAATTCTAATCTGTTCCCGTTGTGAATTATGCTTTAGATTATGACCAGAACTGAAGCGGGATCTCGGCAGAATTCTGTTGTCATATTTTCTAAGATCTAGAGCTCAAAACTTCTAATATGTTGCCATATTTCTTAGCATTCAATCTCATAAGATCTGATCTGTTGCCCTATTTTCTCGGAAGTAATCTTATAAGATATAGTCTGTTGCCATATTTGCTCGGAAGTAATCTCATAAGATCTGATCCGTTGTCATAATTTCTCAGAAGTAATCTCCTAAGATCTGATCTGTTCCCTAATTTTCTCAGAAGTAATCTCATAAGATCTGATTTGTTGCCTTATTTGCTCAGAAGTAATCTTATAAGATATAGTCTGTTGCCTTATTCTCTTGAGATCTAAGCTGTTGCCTGAGCCGTATATCGAGGCTCCAGAGATCTGCATGTGTGAGCATCATAGAAGCTACTACTGTACTATTGTGAATAGTTTCTACGGGCTTTAATCATCGGGGCTCAGGAGATCTGCATGTGTGTGCATCATAGAAAGCTACTACTGTATTTCTGTGTATAGTTTCTACTGGCTTTCAACATCGGGGCTGAGGAGATCTGCATGTATGAACTGATGCATGAAAATTATGTATGAACTAGTGTATAAGAACTATGTATGAAAGCCATGTATGAACTAATGTATGAACTATTGAATGAAAACTATGTAAGGACTAGTGTATAAGAACTATGTATGAAAACTATGTATGAACTATTGCATGAAGACTGTGCGTAAACTATGTATGAAATAAATAAACTACGTGTAAAAACTATCTACAACCTATGAGTAAATTATGTATACGCTGTGTATATATAAACTATACACATGCGTACGGATCGAAAGTAAAGAGAATTAATCACTATACATATTAAAAATGTTCGATTGTCTCGCTATTTATCTATACGGCCCTAAAACTATTCTAACCAAACCAATAAGGCACCGCCACTGATTGCGACCGCAACTCGCTTCCCACCACCACACCACCTTGAGCTACATCTTCACTATTCACTGCCTTGAGTTACACGCTACGTGCATAAAGCTGCTGCTGTCGATGCCCTCACAGCGCACCAATCGCCATCGATCACCCGTTATATTCCGACCCTTTCATCCCCCCAAAAAAGGAGTTAGCATTTCCACAACGTCACCATGAACGCAGGATAGTCGCCAATAACTCCACACACCCGCAACTAATTCCTCACAGTGGCCACTGATTCCTAATAGTCGCTGCTAATACGTCACACTCGCTACTTGAAACTCACGGTTGCCACTGATTTTCACACAGTCGCAATTAGTTCTGCCACCAGGGCGACACCAAAACACCAATAACTACCAAACAACCTGCAGAGAAGGGCTGCCTGACAATTTAGCTATCCTCTGCGTCATCTCCACAAAGAAACCATAGCTAATCTCCACAAAGAAACCATAGCTAATCTCGTACGCTCGTTCATTACCCCTCACTTACGCATCTCTCATCTTATGACACCCCCGCAAAGAAATCATGGCTATCCACATATGCCTGTTCACTGTCTTTTCATCGAGCATCCCCTCTCTGTAGGATCGGCCACAGTATGCATATATCATACACAGCAAGCTTGCGCCTAACAGATATTAGCGACAATGTTGATGGTTCACACACACACCCCTCGCCAGCTCCCCGCAAGCATAGCTTCACAGCAGCAAAGAGCATCAGCCTGTGCATGATCTATCGCTCGATTGGCTATATATTGTATAGGATTAATGTCCACTTAACCGCGCCTATTACCCCACTCACGTCTATGTGACTGTACTTAATCACAAACAGCATGCACATGCCTTCGTAGACTGATGATGCTAGACATCTCAACGATTCAACAACCTGCAGACAATCTCTGGAACACTTCACGGCCCTCGCATAAGCCCAACAATGTTTTAGAATATACTTGCACCTTACACATTGTCCTCAGAACACATACACGTACATATACGTATATGAATACACGCACACGCACACGCACACACACACACGCATATAT